ATGAGACACGGACACCTACTTTAGCCCCGTCTTAACCCTGCTGTTCGCATAAGCCTACATAAACCCTACCCTGGGTGGCGGCGTGCGCCACATGGTGGCGCACGCGAAAATACACTGGCCGTCCGTTATGGGTTAAGACTTCCAGAGCTAAGTAGAACTGATTTATGGGCGGGCTAACTAGCGTTGGGAGAAGCCAATGCTCCATTCTAGGACCTAAGCGCCTTGGCCATGTCAAGTCATCCCGAAAGTTGTCTACGTGCGTTCCGCTTGTGTACCACTGCACGTTTATCTAGGAAACTTAATTTGGGCGCGCAGCGTTTCTCCTCCTGGGTCAGATCACCTAAAATTGAGATGCCGTTCATTCGCTTGGAGCAAGCTTAGAACTAAGCCTAAGCCCAATCATAGGCGCTAATGTGGTGACCTGGGACAAACGCTCGTCTCCCGGGAAGTCTTTCCCGTTTCCATGTCACGACAAGGCGTCGACGAGTGGTCGCATGCATCTGAGGGGATTTCCCTTTTTGAGGACCGATAATTTGTTTGGTCGAGCTACACAAGGTGTAGGTCAGATGATTCATAGTACGGAGATAAGGCAATTGCGTCACTGCGTGTGACGTTTGGGGTACACGACAGGAGGCTCGTCGCGCAGAGAGAAAGCAGAGACGCAGATGGGTCAGAGGACGAGTCACAGCGCTTGCTGTGTGTTTAAGGACATGTTGTATTGCAGTAATAGTGTAGTGTAGAATGGAGTAGTGCATTCTATTTCACTTTCTGCGAAACCACTGCAGTGCGCGCTCCGACTCGTCCGCTGGCCCATCTGCGTCTCTGCCTTCTCTCCACGCAACGAGCCTCCTGTCAGGACCCTGACGTTTGTACCACCGATCTTTGTGAGGGTGAATCATTAGCAGTTCGCACGCAAGCCCAATTTTTCGCAATCTGTATTTCATGACCTTAATCTCGAATCATTATCGGATTCAAAAATGTGACTGCTCACTTGCACACCTCCTCCAGTCACATCCTATGGAACCTATGATTCATTGCTATACAAAGGCAACACGAGCGATATGTGTAGATGCCGATAATCTGTTCTAGAAGTGATTGTTTGTGTTGTGAATTAATAGAATTCGATGATTGTCCTTGCCATTATGTTCCTGAAAACGTTGCGTACATAACGTATATAGCATAACTAAAACGTTAAGTGAAATAATTTAAAGGAATCTTGCGCGGAAAATTCTTGCACTCTTTCCTAACATGAATATGTCAGTTGTGATCACTGGAAATAGCACACAAAGTTTCACGCATGAAGATTCGGTTTCTGAAGAGAAACAAACGTACAAAAACTACACGTTATGGACCATCGAAGGACCAGGAGGCAGAGCCAGGCGAGGCATGGAAAGAAGACGGCGTTTGGCCGGCTACGTACCAGGCGACGCAATGAGAGAATCGGGTTAAAGCGCGCGATTTCGGAGAGTGGAGACAAATCGATCGATGGAATAGGATGGAGTAGAAGTGTAAGATGTGAATGCAACGAAGCAGAAGGCCAGAAAGAGCTTCTAGTGAATGCACTCCAAGAACCAAGTTTGAGCATCCCCGTCGCCAGCATTCGTGAAAGACGTCCGTGGGCAATTCGAACGCGTAGCAGCCTTTTCGAGTTTTCGAATTTCTAATCAAAACGAAAGCAATACTTCAGTTCTTTTCACTATTATCGTGGATAATGAGTCTCAAGCCAGTGATTTATGGCTGAAATAGAATCATGATTTTTCCGCGCAAGATTCCTTTAAAGCGGAACACCCCGACCACAGTTTGAAGGAACGGCACTGCACCCCGCTCGACCTGAACCCATGTCGGTCCTCATCGTTGACTGAAAGAGGTAGTGAGAACAAAGACATGGTGTAATTTCAAAAACACTTTTTCGAAAGGACCTGAATCTCATATTGCTCCGAAAAAGTCACTTTCCATATAAAGATTTCAAGTACTAACTACCAAAAAAGGACCGTGAGGTGTACGAGACGATGTTCCCACAGCTCAGAACCAAGCATGACTTTGGTGAGTTTTTTTCTCATAGCTCACAGCTATGTACAGTATGTCCCTTACAATGGGGGGGGGTCTTTCAGGGTAAGCCACGCTTTTTCAAAACGGTTTTTTCATATTGGTAGGGGCGCATGTAGGGAACACAAAACCATGTTTCATTTTCGCTGAACGGTTTTAGCAGTGCCAAAAAAGAAGCATAAGGTACTGTTGATGGTTCCTGCCGACAAAATTTTACATTTGGCGTTGGCGCCTACGGGTTGGTGTCAAATCGCGCTAAATGTTCAGACACAGCATGTCCTATTCATTCGCCACGACCACTCTGTTGAAGCCCATTAAAGGTGGCCGCCAACCGTGATTTGCAACCACTTTAGTCGCAGCAGGGGTGCGAACAATCCAGGGTCCATCACCGGCACTTTTGTTGCAATAACTACTTGATGCGCTTGCAGCGAAAATCAAAAACATGATTTTTGTGTTTAATACTTGCGTCCTACAGACATAGCAAGCAAACTTTCAAAGAAAGTCGCGGCTTGCCCTGAAGAGAGCCCCCTTGTTACGGAGTTGATACCCGGAACCGCTATACGTCCTATTATCGAACCAATTCTGCTCGAAAACACTCTCCTAATCATAAACAGTGATTCTTTCTAGGTTCAATCCTTGAGATCAAAACTGCGTTATCTCTGTGCTGTAGTCCGAATACCTGCATGTTACCCATACATGGTCCATACCACCGCACCCTATGGGTTCAAGCACCGGTTTTCTCTGGAAATCTGCCAGTGCGGCGCCCTCCGAAACAGATTTCTAAACCTCGACTGATTTCTCTGATTAAATTGAAGCTTGAAGTTTTCCGTTGAAGCAAAACAGTGTTTATCGGGCAAAACATTACCTTTTCTCAGTGCCAGCGTGCTCACTGCCCCTCGACAGTCACAATTGACGCCAGCACGGCTTGCCATTTGTCTTGCGTGTATTCCAAAGTTGTTGGCGACCTCTGTTCTTGGCACCCGGTTGCAATTTCCGCCACTGCCATCATTATTCAGTTCAGCCACTACAAAGCTAAGGATTCATTTGCGGATTGAATCACACTCTGTTGCTCTGCCCGGCAAGTGCCTAATGCACCGTTAGATACGAAGAAAAACTGGGTGAAACTCCAGTTCGGGGGGGCCACTCCATTGCTATCTTATCCGTAGTACTAGAGAGCAGTTCTTTGGGCTATCGAACACTACGGATAAGATAATAAGTGAACGACTCATTTCGAGCGTACTTTTGATAAGGACCGGTGGATGTCCTACATTCCACACTACCTGCCCACATCCCATCCACTTTTCTGCACAGGTGATCCACCCTGGAGCTCCTGCACCCTTAGCCCTTTGCGGAGGTGTCCTTTCTCCTGGTCCAGGACCGTTCCCTTGGGTCATGGCAGGCGGAAATGTGAAAACGTTTCAGGGTTTCTCACCCATTACACCAATATTTATCAGAAGTCTACTTTAAATGAGTCGATTACGTGTCGTGAGCCCTCTAATCCTTATCTTGAGTATTGGAGAAAAAATGGAGTGGCCCCCCGAACTGGAGTTTCACCGAATAACTTAATTATAATTTATGCAATAATTTCGTGGTAGCTGTGACTCGTAGCACACCTTTTTCGGCGAGAGATCATCCTCGTAGCACACTTTTCCGAGAGTGCGGATTGGATTCCCGCCTGGGGCGAAAGTTTTGTTCACAACCCGGCATTCTTGTAAACACTTGCAACGCGAACTGTGAGGTTCAAAACAGCAGTCAACAAACAAAACAAATCAAAAACAATATGTCACGTATTGCAGTATTTGTATTTGTGGTTTGCAAGGCTGATAAAAGAGCTTCGAGTCAGCAATTTGGAGTTATCTTACAAGGAAAGGCTCCCAGGCTTACCCAAATCTGCTAAACGATCTCTGAACGGAGTTATGAAGCAAAACAGCGCAACGGTAGTGGTCGGGACTCACAGTCAAAACGTCGTAGGATCGGTCCCTTATCGTGTTCACTGTTTTACCATTCTTCAGGAATACAGCTAAATTCTCTGGAATTCTGAAGAATGCAAAACAGTAACACGATAAGGGACCGATCCTACGACGTTTTGACTGTGAGTCCCGACCACTACCGTTGCGCTGTTTTGCTTCATAACTCCGTTCAGAGAATCGTTTAGCAGATTTGGAAGGTAGATTTGAGATCAGCGTTCGAAGGCACATCTAGGCGTATACATCTCTTCTTGAATGGCCATGGCGACCTGGGAGCCTTTCCTTGTTAGGATGGTTCTGTCCTTGTGGGTTTCTGGCCTTCCCACGTCATTGTATAGGTCACATCGCACAAGAAGTCTACGGTTGTGATAGGAAATAGAAGTAGAGTGTGCGGCGCATGTAAATGATCTACTGACTGACGCCAAAAGTTTTTTATGTAATCAAATCACGGAATTGTTTTTCATTCAGCACATTTCGCGGAAGCGCCATCGGTTAGATCGCATATTTCGATCTATGGCCTTACCGTTTATGTACATTCAGTTTGCAACCAGAGCACTGTAGACCTTGATGGGTGAAGCCGTGTAGCATCATACCACAGTGGTCGCAAAAGGTCGGAAGTTTATAGAAATGAGGTGAGAAACGATGTGGTATGTCAATGCTGAACCATGCCAGGCTGAATCAGAATAATTAAGAGAAGAAAAAAACCATTTAGAACAAAAATAATTTAAAGGCGTTTGTTTACGATCCTTCCCCAGACGCAAACCATACTATGCTACTTACACATGCAATCCCGGAGCTCATCAGTGAGTTGGGATTGGCACGAAATAAAGACACACGGGAAAGACGAATAAACCTGTGATGTGACAAATTTTTCATGCAGAGGAGCATGCAATGAAATGAATTGTATATTGACTAAAGTGAATTAAAAATAAATTGATTAAACAAACGAAATTTAAAGGCAAAAGTCGGGCTCAATAAGGGGGTATTATGGCGATTGAAACTGAGTATAGAGATGTGAAGTAAAACGACAGTGGAGAAAAAACTGAGAAAAACCGTCGACAAGGCCGTTAACAAAACCCTCTTTCCCACTAGCAGTGAAGGAGGCTGGCTTGGGGAAGAGGCACGTACAAACAAGTTTTCTGGAGATGTCAGTCGTTCTATCGGTTGATACGGCAATCAACCTAGCTGTTTCACACGTTATGCCAGCCACGCACCACTTCCGGAGGTGGGCGGTCCCGGATTGAAACCGACGGCCCCGGGGGCTTAACGACGTTTTTCAAGGTGGAAAGTTGCTGCAATGTGTGCAGCTACCCACATACAACCTCCAGGCACGGGAATTACTTCTCTAGCGTTGTGTGAGCCCGACCTTTGCCTTTAAAGTAGTTCACGATTCAAAAGGCGCGCGGAGTGTAGATAAGAGGCAGCCCACTTAGATAGGGGTGTTCGAGTGGTGATCAGGCATGAAATGACCAAATCATCAAACACGACCAACCCATAAATTGCACCTCTTTGCAATGATTTCACATTTGATGCACGATTGTCATCGCTAATCGCTCTGCTCTCTCTTCTCTCCTCTCTCTCTCTCTCTTCTCTTCTCTCTCTCTCTCGTCTCTCTCTCTCTGCTAAACAAGCTAGACACCGGACGCAATGACCAGCCAGTGGGGGTAGGGCCGAGCAGGGTCTGTCCTATCGTTGTTACTTTTTCGAAAATTTTTTACGACCCCCCTCCCCCAACGTGGATTTGATACGACCCCCTTTTCCCTACCTCCACCATCTCCATCTTCCATCAAAACCCCGCCCACTTTTTCCTCCAAAAATGCCGTCGAGCGGGGGGGGGTATATACGCCCGCTGAAACGGCAAATTTTTATCCTGCGCCCCTCCACTCGCCCAGCCTACTACCCACGAAATCTTAGTTTCACCTCAATCCCACACGTGATTTCGAGCGACTAAAGTGGGTACGACCCCCCCCCTCCTACAAACTCAACCAGGTACGACCCCCCGTTGTTACTCGTAACAACGTAGGGTTGACCCTGGTGCGGTCACTAGCATTCAGCTGCGCGGGAGCGGCCATGCTAGAGCGCCGGGGAATGTCTTTTGTGATGCTAATGTAGAATAAGCGAGTGCTCAGTCCGCACTGATCTTTTCCCATTGGAAAAGTCCCTTCCTTCTGCCATATCCCATTGGAAAAGTCCCTTCGTTCTGCCATAGATCTTATCGTGGAATCCTCCTTTGAACATGCAATACCAAAAAGCATTATATTACCGTTAACGGTTGATCTTAAAATCAAAGAGCTTACAAAAAATAAATGTGTAGTGGAACAAGCAGTTATGCAGAGCAGGATGTAGAAGGTGTGGGCTTACGCCGAAAATGAATAAATCTAGGTACGCATTAGGGTTTTAGTTGCACGTCACGGAAGTATTGAGTGAAAAATCAGGCACTTTACAGACTTACTTTAAGCAGAAGGCACAGTAAGTAACAATAGGGAAGAACGGCTCACTTTTTGGATCATAGGAGAGTTTTATAGAAAAGGGTCTGGAGCATTGTATGCTCACACGAGAGAACGACAAGCGGAACGAGAGCATAGCAGAGAGCGAAACGGCAGACAACGGACAAGGGTTAGCGAGAGTGACTCCTTGAGGTGCCCATGGGTGCATGTTCAGTAAGCCCCAAAGCCATTTTTACGCATTACGAATTGCGAAGGTGGCCCACTGCTGGAGTTGCAGACTCGGCAGCCTTATTCGTGTAAGGGATTGACCCAAAGAGTCACGGCATGTTGCCATCTAGAGTCGTTTTTAGACACCGTAGGGGCTGCAAAGGATTCTGAGTATTTGAAGGCGTAGCATGCCGGCGGTAACTATCGCAGCAAAAGTTCTCGATGAAACTGGCAGGTCGGAAGCTATGCACGCACCGTTGTTTCATCGGGCGAATCTCGAAGCTTCCATGACAATGCGGTGAGTAGGACATCGAAGGCGTGAGTACAGCCACCTGTATTGCAACATTCAGAAAAGCACAAAACCTCAACCAGTCCTTGATTTTCTATTTCAGGTGGACTGTCAGCTTTATTGCCCGAGCACTTCCATATCACTTGTTGGTGACAGTTTCTATGCACAACCATAGAACAGTCTGAAATCCTGAGTGTCAAAAATTTGAAACTGTCAGCGCTCAGTCATTTCGACACTTTGGGCCACTGGAGGAATCCGCTCTTGGTCGCTCAAAAGTTCATGCCGAGCTCGGGTTATTTCCTACTTTTTTCAGTATTCCTAAACCCCTTATCAATTTTGACTGCCTTTTTTCTGGAGGATATCTGCTCGTTTTTCTGCAAATAAAAGGTAAAAAGTCATTTCAGTTTTCCTTGGCCAAAACGTTTCCTTAGCGTTGCCCAATGGCTTACTATGCGCCAGCAGACAAAACGGTAAACGAAAATTGGCCGATGGAAAAGATTCTCTTGAAAAACCAATAGATAGGTATGGCTAAAAACAAACCTCGGCACTGGTATCCATGCTTGCCAACGCCAAACATGATTTTCTTACACTGTGCACAGGATCTCGGCTGTCGTAGCAACGCTGCCGTAAATTTATGACCATTTATCTGAGAAGAGATTTAGCTATTTTTCATCGATGCTTTCTCAATAACTTCATGCTATACGCCTCATGGACTTTATCGCTCATTGTATGACAACACTTCCAATCGTTCGTTCGATGTTGTCTGAGTGTTACTGAAAAAAATCTAATGTAGTTTTTAAACCAAGCGTACAGGAGTTAGCATAACGCACTGTAACATGACGGGACACCCCAACTTCTTGATAGGTTGAATAACAGAAGCGATGTATTTTAGCTCACACATCTAGCGCTTCTATATGCAAAAATGACTAGCGACGTTGTTGTGCTTCATTGACTGGTCTTCACGATTTTATCCGAATCATTTTGTCAACGGGGGAAAGAAGAAAGAACAAGACGTTCCTCATTCCTTTAAAAGCGAAATTTTGATCTACTTACAAACCATTCCTTGGAGCAGAGGATTTTCGCTTTTCATTGCGGCACGCGGTATGGGGGCTTTTGGTCGCTCAAAAGTTCATGCCGAC